GCATCTTCATTATCGAACAATTTCATAATAAGATGATAATGTTTTGAGAGTGTTATAGATCATATATGATTTAGGATTTATTGTCCAAGTGATGGCTCCCACTCATTTTCATGACTTTAGGTCTTTCAACTTGATAACCTACAATCATCGTTCGACAACGAACTTTCCATTGAACACTTTCTTATTATTTCCTTCCAGGCAACAATATTCTCAACATATATTTCCGTAGACATTTTTATGGTGCTTTTCTCGGATTTCATTCCAAATGGCTCACAATTATTTGGGAGACCCTAATCACTTGTGATTATGGAAATTTACCTTAAATTTCTGCACATTATACATGGATGCACGTCCATGTTACCATTCTCAAGCCACGACGCATTTTGGCTCGTGCTTATAAACGACTTCCTTATTAAGGATCTAATAAGGATGTGCTTGCAACATCAATTCTCAAATTACATGTGTTTCCATGCGCCAAGAACTTATCCCCTTTTACTTATTAAAGTACTTTGGATTTTTCTTGATCATATCTAACGATTCATCACTTAGATTTAAATTGATTGGTATCTGATACTTCCCATGCTCTAAGCATGTAAGTTGAGTGATGACTCCATATCATAGCACACATGATGGTTTTAATTGCAGAATTATTCCTAATTTATTCCAATCATGTGACCTTTTAGCTCATCTAGTTTCACCGAGTCTTGCTAAACTATTTGCTAAATGATACGGTTGAAAGTCTCTCCTAGAGTCTTTCTTGTATGATTTAGTATTAGCCCAGCTTATACTTAGTTTAAACATCTACTTAGTTTTATACATATGGGTTGGATCATACGGTCGAAACTATTTGCTAAATGATACGGTCGAAACTTCTTGTTGGATCATACAAGATTGACTCTTGCTCCCACTAAACTTCTTGTTCATAAGAATTTCTATGAATCTCCATAAGCCAAACCTTCTATTAACTTTATGAGAATACATGTTCCAATTCCTACATGCAATGCTTCACTTAATCCCATAGTGGATTTCTTGAGCTTGCTTTCAAATCTAGCATTATTTAGATTCTCAAAACCCTTAGATTGTTTCCATAGTCTATTCCTAAAATCCCATTTTAGGAAGGCGGTTTCGTTATCTATTTTGACATATTTCATATGCGCAATTTTGCTAGAATAATCACGAAAAGACTTAAGCGTTTTGATTGGTGAATATGTTTTTTATTAAAATCAATGTTGTGTATTAATTGTATCCTTTTCAACCAATCTAGCTATGTATGCATTACGCATTTCACATTTGTCAGTTTTCTCCTTGAAAACCTATTTGCGATTGATGGGTCTTTCACCCTTCATGCAAATGAATCAAGTTCGAAACATGATTTACAAAAATGGAGTCTAATTTCGGATTTTATGGCCTCTAACCATTATTCGGAATTTGGATTTGTCGTAGCTAATTTACAAGACACTATTCCCTTACCATCCAATGTTAAATAGTATGATTGTAAGTTTTAGGTTTATTTCTAACTTAATAGAAATTTATAGGATTCAATTCAAGTCTTTGGTGAATTCGATACCTATATGGGGTAATTGCATCAAACACTGAGTTTCAAGGTGCTTTTAAAGCCCTTTGATTATATTGATCTTACTCCACCACTTCTAAAGTTTTGTAAGTATTGAATTCTCATTTAAGGCACTTGTAAAGTCATTTGAGTATTCTTGATCAATCATTCTCATGAAGCCCTTCTAAAGTCTTCGAAGATTCTCAGTTCTAGTTTGTTGCTAATCTCAATGGTAATCGAGTTCATTTTCCTCCCACTTGTTGTTTTGGAAATGTGTTACTTTCCAGAAAGACACCACTTAGAGCAACAAGTACTATGTTCTAAATTAGGTTGTGGAAGCAATGCCCGTAGTCTCACTTGAATACTTACAAAGAGACATGTATATTGTCTTTGGGTAAAAGTTTGTTGTGAAACAAACAGTTAGCTCCTTCTCGAGCTACCTTAGCCCTTATTGAGCCACTTAGCTCCCACTAAGCCAATGAACTCCCACTAAGCTAAGAGCCCTTGACATATACTTGAAAAGACGCTAGAAACTATTTTTATCCATAACTGAATATGGTGCCCTTTCTTAGCTTCGACAATTTTTGTTTAGCTTCGACATTGCTAAAGATGTTTGGAACACAAATCATGTCCATGACTTGAACTTTGTGAGTTTTCATGTTAGGGAAATGTTTGTTTATAATCTAGCATTCTTGCTCATGGATTAGACAAGCATGCCATTCAAATAAAACTCGCAACTATTGCTCTTTTACTTTGAATGTGAGTCTTTCCGTGTGTAAACGGATCGTTGGCTGATTATGGAACACAATAACCATAATTCGTTCCAGCCTTGGCTTAAAAGGACTTTAAAAAAAACAAATGACCTTACAACTGATGTAGCACTATTTGATTCATTCTAAGCTTGTAAGTCAATAACTTAGGTTGTCTTCAATTGTTTGAGGTCACTTTCAAAGTAGAACACTTAAGTAGTATCCCATACTTAAGAAGATAACGAATTACTAAGTTAACCATAATAACATGAACTCATGGGTAGAAAAGGAATCTTATTCCTTTCCTTTGTTCTCTGTATCCTATATTTCTTATCATACATCATCTCATAACTGTAAGAACCATTTCTTTAAGTACCTTGACTTTTACACTTTGTTAGGCATAATTAAGCATCTAATGCGCCGTGAAACAAAGTTTCATCTTTTCCTTCAATTCGTACTTGAATTTCTACAACAATGAGTCCTACTCATTTGTGTATGAAGCGAAAAGATACGTAGGTTGTCAACTATTGACAATTTGAGTTTTTCAACTCAACATTTCATGTTCATCAAAACTATCTAGTATTTTGAATACATGATATCCAACCGTCCTTTCGGACTTTATTCATAAAAGTCAATTATGAGAGGTTGTATTTTAGAAATGCCTTTCAATTCTTTGAGGACCATTCTCAAAAGATTTCCTTTACCAATCATCGAAAACAATATAATTTGATTTAGAATTCTACAAATATAAGTGCAAAGTATAACCATTTATCAAGTTCATAACATAATAAGTTTGAAATTCAAAGCATACATGCAAACTTTCAATCTTATTACGTGTCTTATCCACGCATTAAAATTTATCCCTTTTAGGCGAGAACAAAACGATTCCAAGATCCCAAAATCAGAAAGTAAGCATGCTTTGGCTTATCTTAACACTTAATATTTTAGGGTAAGCAATCCAAATGCTAATAGCTCCAAGCTACTCTTGGTTCGATAAAATGTCGCATCTAGTGCTACCCTGACATTTCATCTCCATTGCCACGACATCTAAGTACTCCTTACCGATGTCATTGAGCTTAACCAGATGACTTGTATACCTAGTATACCTTACGTTCCTAGGGAAGTGGTGATGCCTCGCTTTGGCGTAGCCCATCACCACACGCATTAGTTCGGTAAGAGTGTTTCTTTGAATGGAAAATTTGGCTCAATATTATAGGGACCTAGGGTTTCTATGTTGGTAGATTTCAGTGAACTTAATTAATCATCGCAACATTTGAAATCCTAAACATGCATCTATCATACTATTTAATCATATATAAACACAATTATATAAAAAACATAAGTAAATGATGCATTTGGTAACTAGCAAGACCCCTTAAGTCTTCAAATCTTCAAGGGTTTTCGATGCAACTTCTTGTCTTGTCTTCTTAGAAACACCGTCTTTGAGACATCTCCGCCAAATATGCAACTACTAACTACTACGACTAGGAATAATCTAAATATTAAGATACAAAAGTACGCAACGGTACGCAGATCGTATTTAGATTTACAAAAATACATAACGGATCGCAGTCCGTATTTACTATCGTAGTCGGGTCCCACTAGTTGCCATTTTCATAGAACCTGTGAAACAATATTCATTCTGTTCATCCATTCACTATATGTGAACGGCCCATGCATTTTACAACGAAAAACAAGTAACAATGTATAACACGCGTAAACTAGTAACTAACTTAGGTGGTTAATCCAATTAACGCGCCTAATTAAAACTAGTGAAAGTTGTTTAACATTATGTTTTCAAACGCAATAAATTAGCTCAAGCAATTAATGAAGCTCCCACTAAATTCCGTATTCAACGTAATTAATCTAATTAATTAAGCTAGTTAACCTAAATTTTGTCAAAATATTTTTGCAAGAATCGGAAGAACCGAGGCCTAGCCTCAATAAAATAATTAAATAAAATAATTATAACGGCACCAATTATGCAAAAAAATAGCCCACAACATGCCCCAAGTGCCTAGCATCAAAAACGCGGGGCTAAGCTTGCTAGGCACTAAGGCCGTGGCTCGCTTGCCTAGGGTGTTGGGCTGCCCACCATGGCTGCCTGGCTACCCCTAGGTGTCGTGGCTAACCGTGCTGGCCTGCCTGTCTAGCAGAGCACGCCATGCTTGCTGACACCATACACATCGCAGCAAGCTACGCATGCTTGCGTGCATGCTGGTGCTGGCAGCGTGTGGTGAGCTTGCTGGGGCTCGCAGCCTTGCTGCCTAGCAGCACTTGCGGGCACCCTCACATAGCACACGCATCTTCTCGCACCGCCCATAGCACCAAGCGCATCCTTGCACACACATCGTAGCACCATGCACCACACTTGCACCCACACTAGCGCATTTTTTTTTTGGTAAGTAAGTAATTTTATTACCAAAGTAAAGTAACAAGTTACAACTTAAACTAATCAAAGCTGTAACTACTCCAAACTACGTACACAAGCCTAAAAATAGACACACAAACCTCCTATCAATCCCTAGTCAACCTAAAGCCACCCTCTAGGAGGGGTGACTTAAGAGGGAAGGGAGCAAGCTGTCACTAGTGACGTGACACCTTCTAGGAAAGGTACACTCCACTAGCTTCAACAAAACAGCCAGTGAACACTACCATCTATACAAGAAAAATACAGCCCTATACATCTTACAAAAATGCTATACATTACAATCATGTAAACTATACAACCATTTACACTGTTGCCTTGTCCACTTGCCATTTATCATCTGTTTACACCTCTGCACAACCTCAGTACGAATTGCTTTGCAAATTTCCCTTGGACGAATAACAACTTGTAGCCAGAGAGCCTTATTCCTAGCATACCAGATCTGGTAGACAATTGCAGCCAAAACAGCATAGCATACTCTTTTTTTGACAGCATCCTTCACCTTTCCTTCCCAAAATTTCCATAAGGTATCAATATTAAAATCATCTACTGGGATATTTTGCCACTCCCTGATACTTGCGAGACACTTTAGGCTATACCCACATTCAAAAAACAAATGCTTCCTGTCCTCAATAACCTCACCACACAAGAAACAACTATTATCCTGGCAGGCACCCCAGTCAAACAATCTGCTCCTAGTCTTCAACCTGTTTTGCACAGCCAACCAAAGGATAAAAGAATGCTTTGGGATATTAAACCTGTTCCATACCCATAAAGACCAATCTACCTCTTGCTTAGGGCCAAGTAACCATTTATATACTTTTAATAAGCTATAAGAACTGCTCAACCACCCCTCACTAACAAAGCCCTCCTCCAACCTGTCTTTAACTTGGCAGAGTTTCTTCCAAGGCCCACCCTGCACTCTTTTTTGGCTTGTACTCCCACCAATATCCTTCTTTAATGTAAACAGCATGGACCCAACGAACCCACATAGAATCCTCCTTCATAGCTACCTTCCATACATACTTACCTAAGGCTACTGTGTTCCAAGAAGTACAATCTCTCATGCCTAAACCACCTGCCTTCTTTGACTTACAGATCCAATCCCAGGACATGGGAGGGGACTTCCTTAATATAGCATCTCCACCCCAAAGGAAAGCCCTACAAAGCTGTGTTATTCTCCTAATGACCCTAGCTGGGAGCAGGACACATTAGGCCCAATATGTATGAAGACTAAGCAAAACTGAGTTTACCAGGATACTTCTAGCTGCATAGGAGAGATTCCTACTGGACCAGCAGGTTATTCTAGCCAACATCTTGTCAATCAGGCTGTCATAATCACTATTTGCCAAACTCCGAATATTCAGAGGAACACCTAGGTACTTAAAAGGAGTGCAACCTTCCACAAAACCTTAAATGCTCAAAATGTTCTGTTTCACACCCCTAGGAACATTCCCGAAGAATATAGCTGTCTTCTCAGCAATGACTTGTAATCCAAAGCACTTCTCAAATGTCTTCAAAGCTCTTATCAAGAGAACCACAGAGCTTCTATCCCCATAGCTGAATAACATCAAGTCATCAGCAAAAGCAAGATGGTTAAGGTGAAGCATTTTGCATCTTGAGTGAAATTTAAACCCATTCATATCACCCACCTTGCTTAAAAGTCTAGAGAGATATTCCATTACAATAACAAACAAGAGAGGAGACATTGGGTCCCCCTGCCTTATCCCTTTCTTTCCTTTAAAACATCCATTCAAACCTCCATTCACCATAATAGAAAAGGAAGGAGAAGACACACACTGCATAATCCAGTTCACAAACATAGCAGGAAATCTCAGAGCACCCAGCATATCCTGAATGAAATCCCAACTAATGGAGTCATAGGCTTTTCTAAGATCCACATTCACAGTGCATTTAGGAGCCTTTTGCTTATCTCTGTAACCTTTCAACACATCCTGAAAGATGAGCACATTGTCCAAGATGGATCTTCCTGCTACAAAAGTACTCTAGACATCATTAATCAAACCAGGGAGCACCTCCTTGAGCCTGGCATAAATCATCTTAGAAATGATATTATATAAGACATTACAGCAAGCTATGGGCCTAAATTGGCTTACTTTGGAAGCATTATCAACTTTAGGGACCATAGTAAGAACAATAGAGTTTACTTGGCTTAACAGTCTACCATGAGAGAAGAAATCCAACACAGCCTTAGTAATGTCAGAGCCAATGATATGCTAGGAGACCTTGAAAAACTTGCTAGAAAAACCATCAGGGCCTGGAGCCTTATTTTCATCAATGCCCCAAAGAGCTTCCTTGACATCAGCTGGAGTGAAAGGCCTACAGATGGCACTACCCTGCTCCTCACTCAGCACCTCACCCTTGCAAATCACACTCTGATGGAGTTTACTACCCATACTGCTTGCAGATCCCAGAAGCTGTTTATAGAAATCAATTTGCAGATCCCAGAAGCTGTTTTTAGAAATCACCCCCTGCCTTATCCCTTTCTCCCATCATCCCTTTGAATACTACAAATACTATTATGTACCCTTCTCTTCCTTAAACATGCATGAAAGAAGCCAGAATTGGCATCTCCAGCCTTTAGCTAGTGCAATTTTTCCTTTTGACTCAAAAACTGCATCTTCCTGCTATGTGCCTCCTTGTACCTCTTTGTAGTCTCAATTTCCTGTGCAATAAGAGCCTCATTAGCAGGATCATTGTTTAACTGAGCTTGTAACTTATTTAACTCAGCCTCCAAGTGAGCATCATCACTGATCACAGAAGAAAAATGTTGCTTGTTTAGAGACTTTAAAGCCTCTTTCACAGACTTGAGCTTACTAACCACACAAAACATTGGAGTGCCCTGAACATTACAATTCCAACTGTTTGCTACAATATTCAAGAATCCAGGGTAACCAGCCCACATGTTAAAGAATTTAAAGGGCTTTTTAGTAGAACCAACATTCTCCAGCACATTTAACACACAAGGACAATGGTCCATGAGACCCTTAGGTAAGAACATTGCACTAACCTTCTAAAATTTATCCAGCCAAGCTCCATTCCCTAGTACTCTGTCTATTCTTGAGCACACCCTACCAACACCATTTTGTTTATTGTTCCAAGTATAGAAGAGCCCTTCTATCCTGACTTCATCCAGATTGGAAAGTCTCAAACAACTTCTGAACCTTTCAACCTCATTCAGGGTAACAGGAGCCCCAATTCTGTCATTGAGGTTTAAGGCATTATTAAAATCTCCACAAACCACCCATGGCTCAGTCAGTAGACCACCAAACTCACTAATTTGCTTCCAAAGAACTTCCCTACCATCTTGACTATTCACCCCATACACCATAGAGCATAAGAAACAAACTCTAGAACTTAAATGCAAAATTTTAAGATGGATAACCTGCATCTCCACTTTAATCACATCCACACTAAACACCTCAGGCCTCCAAATCACCCATATCCTACCATGACCACCTTTTTCTATAGTTAGCAACCACTGACCATTCCTCAGCAAAACTAGTGAAGACCCTCTTTAACTTAACAGCCTTCACCTTGGTTTCTAGGAGCCCAAACAACCCTATTTCATGATATCTGAGAAAATTTAGTACATCACTTATTCTATCAAGTTGGTTTAGGCCCCTAATATTCCAAAATCCCCACTTATTCATGAGGGATGTAGGAGAACCCTCCAACCCCCTCACCACCATACAACACCCTCCCAGTTCACTCACTAGCAACACCCCCATCAGGCTCACCTACTGTGTCGTCCACCAACAGATTAAACATGTTCTGGATCTCAACATCAATGACTTCATCCTGCTTCTTCCTTCCCTAGTGTATATTCTTGCCTTGCTGAATCCACCCTGCCTGACTACTTTGTATCTCCTTCAGGCTTTTGTGCTCCTGCATCTCCATTCCAGCCCTGCACTCACCTAATACATTCTGGGTAACATTAGACTGCCTAACTTGCCTGTCCATGTGCCCAGACTGGTCCTGAATCCCAGCTGTTTTCTGCCCAGGTTTCTGTTTAGGTCTCCAGACTCTCTGAGGCTTCAGGAATCTTTTCCTCTAGAACTCATCCTAGCTCTCCTTCCTCTTAGGACACTGCTTAGTCTCATGACCAAACCCAGCACAAATTGCACAACTATTTGGTTTCCATTCAAACACTATCTTCTGGTTAATAGTAACACCATTTTCATCTAGGAAGGTAATAGAGTCTGACATAACCTCACTGATCTTCACCTCAATCAACACTCTAGCAAACTCAATAAGATCCTTCATGGCAGTAGCCCTATCCATTTTGATGGGTTTTCCAATCAAACTACTAATCTTCATACGAGCATTGTGACCCCAGAAACGAAGGTCAAGTCCTGGGAAACACACCCAAATAGGAACATAGTCCAACTTCTCCTCAGCCAAGTTAATACTTTAACATGTGGGCTAATCTACTGCTATTTTAATTATCCTTAAGCATAATTATGGAGTTTTAATTAGTGCTTGAGTTGATATGCTATTTTTTCACACAAACTTGATTTTTCACAATTATGCAAATAAATTGCATTAATTTGTGAATGTTTGATGTGGATGTGTAATTTTAAGTTCCCAAGTTTGTTAAAGTTCTAATCTTTAAAGGTTTATATGATTGGAACTCTAACCCTAAATTCCATATTGAATAAAGTTTGGATTTTTCATTTTTGGTTGATTAAAATCCATGAAGTTCAAATACTTGTGAGTAAAATTTTGATTAATCTTCATATTGGAAGATATAATCTTGGTATTTTACACAGGTATGAAAGTTGGAAAATTTTTATCATTAGATGGTTAATTTATTTTTCCAACTCCCATTTGTCAAATCCATTGTTAATTTGCATATTGGCTAAATTAATTATGGACATAGCTGATTAGGGGATTTTTCCCCACCAATCACCATCTGACAAGTGGACCAATCAGGTTCCGCCATGTGTTCGTCACATGGGCCAATAGGAGCCTGCCACGTGTCAAGCAATGATCCGTCCACTATGGACCAATTACGACACGACACGTGTCCTTCCCATGACACCTGGGATAACCGGTCACCTAGGCCCAACTTCCGAGGGAAGCCCAATCAGCCCAAGGTTAACCTAAACCTAGATTGACAAGTTTCCCGAGGTTATAAATACCTCCCTTAATCCTCATTAAGGGAGAGAACACGCTAAAAACGCAGATTACACATTAATTACTCCTTAATCAAGTACTAACTTGACCGTCGAAGGCGGATCTCCAATCATCCGGAGCATCCGTTTGTTTTGCAGGTACAGGCGTCCGGTTCAAGTCTCGGAATTGTAACTCTCCCGCAGGACATTAGAAGACCCGAAACAATAGCTATTTTAATTTTAAGCATAAACGAAGACCTAAATTATTTCAAAAATGAATTTTAGGATGATTTAGGCTTGTGCACCGCTAAAATTAAATTTAATTAAGTTGGACTTATTTTATTTTCATTTTTTCCCTTAAATTAATTCTAAAATAAATTTAGATTCATTTTATGTCACACGTACATCGGGATTAAAATCCTGAGAAATGGCACGCAAATCAAGGCAAAAATACCCAAGCGCCACCAAGGCTAGCCAGGCTGCCTAGCAGCCCACATGTGGCTACCTATGTTGCGCACAGGGGTGTGCCTAGAGGGGCTGTTGTATGGCAGTGGGAGTTGCGTGCTGCCGTAGTGCTAGGTGCATGGCAGGGCTGCTGGAGTTTCTTGTGCGTGCTGCTTGGCGGCGAGGCAGCAAGCCCCAACCAGCCTGCCAGACGCTGCCAGGCACCAGCTAGCATGCGCAGCATGCGTAGCGAGCTGCTAGTGCTGGCTGGCGCATCATGCTATGATGGGCGTGGATGCTGGCACACAGCACAGCAAGCGCAGCACATGGGCTACCTAGCAGCCATGGTGCGCACCCACCAAGCACTTGTGTGGGGTATTTTGCTTGATTTTGAGTTATGTAATTTTGCGAAAATTTTTGCCGTTTTAAATTATTTATGTAATTATTTTACGAGGTTATACCTCGATTTTTCGGCTTTTACAAAATTTTGATTTTGACAAATTATGGGTTATGCCGACTTAATTAATCGGATT